TCATTGAGGTTGTTTTGGCATTGGGTTGGGTTTGGAGATTTTTATTTATTTATTTATTTATTTTTACAGAAAACTTGTGTTACAAAATAAGGGTGTGGAGTTTAGAAAAATGGGGGGGCGTTTATCAGGCAGGGAGGGTCCAATGAAGATTGATGTTTCATTAAAGACAGCATACAGTCCAGTGAACAGGCTTGACCCATAAGTCAGTTTGTATTTGTCTAGTGTCCCCATTTAGATCACTATTGTTTTAAACACCACATACCTACATCACCTCGAGACCCTCGGTTTCAATGGCTCTGCAGTACTAAATCACCGTGACAACCCAGGAATGGGCCCTGTGTTTTTCTTATCTAATGCTCATATTTTCACAATTTTTTTTGCAAAACAATTTGTCCTACTAGTAAAACAAGTGAGTTAAGAATGTGCATGATATCTTTCATAATATGGTAATGAGTTCATCAATCATTTCCCCCCAAAAAGCGTTCATTTCTTTCAACAATCAGAATGCATATGATTCCCTGCATAGATCTGTGTGCAAAGACAGCTCAAAAATAGCTCTGATTCAGAACGTCAAACTCATTTTACATCGTGGGCCACAGTCACTGTACACAAATCTAACTACACATTTAATCAATGAGATATCTTAATATAAGATTTCCACATGATAAAGACATGTTTGTTGTAGTAAAGAAATCTGTCACAACACTTTGGCCTTAAATTGTATTATTATAGAAATATTATCATTACAGAAACAAATATTATTACAGAAATAATTTAATAATTTTGTGTGGTATGAAATGCCATCAGCAGGAAAAGCTGTGAAAATTGTGAAAATCCAGTTAAAAGTCTAAGATTTACGTTGTCCTTTACATTTTTCACAGTAATCCAATGGACAGATTTTGGCCCCCGGCCTTATGTTTGACACTCCTGCCCCAGAGCTTATGTGGGAAGATTTCAGTTCTTGCAGCTTTGCTGGCCTGAAATCTCACAGTTAAGTATTGTTTGGAGGATTTCACACAGAAGTGTTCACTGTTATATTTTTTATAATTACAGCAGAGCCAGTGTAGCAAACCTGAGTCTTTGAAAGATTTAAGTGAAAACCTGGATAAAAAATTGAGGCTTTGTCTGAAGCGCAAGTCAGCCTTTGTCCTACAAGTGACTATTTATCTATTTGCATTGTTAATGAACCACAATCATTCAAAGAACAGACAGAGTTTGACCAACTCAAGTTCAAAAGTGATAGAAAATAAACTGTTAATCTACACGTCTGGAAATTTTAGAAAACATAAAAAAGTACAAAATAATTAAGATGCTGAAGATGAACTTTGACCTCCTTTTTTGGAAGCTGTGTCACATTATGATCACTTCTTTGCAAAGAACATTGACACTCAGGTTTCAGTTGAGGACTGGAGAAAGAAATGGGCAGTTTGTTATAGAATATTCAAAAATCTTTTTTTCACTCTCAAAAGATTGTGATAATAACTGCAAGTTTAAAACATAATGACATGATCTTAACTTTGATAAGTCTGGAGCATTTATGATGTTTTCTTCAAAAAAATACTTTTGTATATATTTTTCAAACATTTGCCAGACTCGTGGCATTTGACACATTCTATGAAGTGGCCCCGCTTTGACGAGACAGAAAACAGGAGCGATTTGTTTTGGGGGTTTGGAATTAAGCACCGCTGTGCTAAAGCGAGACACAATGAGTGGAGTAAGGCTTGTAACTTCTGATTCTAGTCCACCACTCCTGGGGTCTCGGCCACTGTGAGCGGTCATACATGCACACACATAAACACCTCCAGACTTGCAGCAGAAATCAATTTAGCAAAAACAATAAAGTAATTATTTATAAGGGCAGACTCTGCCAAATTAGCTGTGGGACGCACTTAACTGCTCGAGCCATGTGAGTGAGAGCTGTAGAGCCAACGCTGGGGCTGTGTCAGTCATGAAGAAATGTGATGCTCACTGAAGTTACAAATACACTCTTACAGCACCTACACACTTCATAGACACGCTCACACAGAGCCGCTAGCATGGTACCGCACATACAGTCCAGTACAAAGCACACACACAAACACACACACACATCAGTGGTATGTGAACATTTGCTTCAGAGAGCAGCACTGCGTTCATTTTTCAGTTTTAGAGACCTTCTTATTGTCCAAACACAACAGAGTGCTCACATTACCAACTATCAGTATGAGATTGTGTGTATGTGTGGCAGATGGGACACATGTGTGGTCTGTGGTGGCAGGCTGGCTGGAGCCTGAGGTTGGTGGAGGGCTTCATCTGGGACAGAGCAGGGAAGGGGGGGGCTCTCAAGACAGCAACATGAACACACACACCTCATTTCCGATTAATAAATCACCAGCGTTTCACCACAGTTCTTCTCCCTGTGTCTCTTGGGGTGGGAGTGAGGGTGGGTTGGGGGTGTGTGGGGGGTGGGAGGGTTATTACACAGGCGTTTATGAGTGTAAATTTTATTTTTAGACTTTGGCGAGAGGAGTAGAGGAATGTGTTAATGGTGCCACCACAGCTTCCTTTGCATCTTCCCATCAGTCTTTAATACAAAGCTCTGAATTGGGAGGAGAGAAAAAAGGCTTGGTGGTAGAGTGAAGGTGGGTGGAGCTGCAAAGCAAGCCGTGTAGGATTCATGTCACAATACCAAATGGGAAGTCTGAGCATTGGCCTGTTTTTGATTTATGGCATATGGTATGTACTATATGTGGGCTATAATAGCTTTGGAGCTGGGGGTGACGGGGGCTGTGGGCAGAGTAAGCTGGCGGGTTCAACCAGAGGACCTAGACTCAGTCCAAGCAGTGAATGCTGTTTCTACCGTCGAACCTGATCTTCCACCTCTTTTCAGCGAGGTCAGGAGATGAAGAAGTGACACACTTCCTGTTGCTTCTCTGGACATTACACCGATTTAACATTTTGGGGAATTTGAACCTTTTCATGTTTGCATTTTAAAATTAAACTATAATCAGCTGCTTGATGTTTCTACCTCAAGCAAGAGAAGGGGAACGGGGGTGTTTGTGTTAGGCAGGTTCAACATTAACATAAACACAGATACCTTCATGTACCAACAAGCTCCTCCTCTGGAGTCAAGTATGGTAAACCACAGGCATGTATACAGGGTTTGCATGCTGTGGCAGCACTCCTACATTAAATATAACTATATAACTGATAGAGGCTGTCGCCACTGGATCATGGCACTATTTATAAAAAAAAAAATTTTTATCGATACTTTCAATTCAATTCAATTTTATTTATATAGCACCAAATCACAACAACAGTTGCCTCAGGGCGCTTTATATTGTAAGGTAGACCCTACAATAATAGATACAGAGAAAAACCAAACAATCATATGACCCCTTATGAGCAAGCACTTTGGTGACAGTGGGAAGGAAAAACTCCCTTTTAACAGGAAGAAACCTCCAGCAGAACCAGGCTCAGGGAGGGGCGGGGCCATCTGCTCCGACTGGTTGGGGAGAGAGAAGGAAGACAGGATAAAGACATGCTGTGGAAGGCCTGCAACTTAATGCATAATTACAATGGGGGGGGCTACAAGTCAGGAAATAATTAAGCTATAAGTGCATTTTATCTGACACCATAAGTACACAGTTCTTTTCAGGGCGTGGGTCATGTCATGCTGTGACTTTACCTCGCATAACTGGGTATTTTACAGGAGAGAATAATTGTACTGTAAGTAATGTACAAAACAGCCTGAGTGTAAAATGACAACTGATGAATGGAAAATCCTTCATGGATTAAAAAAGATTTAATAATGAAGGCACGTTTAACTCACACCATAATACGAAAAATATTGAACAACATTACCTGTTCATTACACACCAATGAAATTTGTTATGCTATACCTAAAATTAAAAGTAAATACTTGAAATTGCTTTCCGTATAATTTCTGTCTCCTTCCTGTAAAATACTTAAAATTACTGAGGACTACTTAAATTGATTTAGAGCATAACTGTTGCTTTGTTACCCCTTTATTCTACCTTTAAGCATCTGCATGTTAATATAACTGCATTATTCTTTCAAATAAAATACACCTAAATTCAATTTAATTGCAGAGAAATAAAGACCTTTGTCACGGGCCGTATTATAAAGTGCTATCCTACTTTTTAATTGGACTTGACTTACATTTCTAATTTATTTAAGCTTTGCACTAGAAGAAAAAGCAAAACCCAGGCATGCAGATAAAGTTAGGTGGGGCGGCTTCAGCGTGTGTCCAACTGGAGCGCTCACAGTAACCAAAGATGCCAACACGTTTCTGTGCTTCCTCCATCGATCTCCCTTCTCTCTCAAGCCTCCTTCAGCCTCTGCCTCCCTCCTCAAAAACTAATGGGGCATTTCCTCCAGTGCCACACCACCCAGCAACTCTGTTTACTCTTCATTCCACTGGGGCACACAGGGACACACAAACACATGTGCACCCACCACAAGATCAAACAGCACTGCGCAAACTTAGATTAAATAAATATAATGACTCAATAATAATGACAGATTTGGTCTCTGAAGGTAGAGGAATACACTTCCATCTGTTTTAATACGTGAGAAGTGCCATGAAAATGGAGCTCAGTAACAACTATTTCTAATATCATTCTTTACAGCATCTTAGTCATCCTTATCAGTCAGTGTTTATACCGTACTGTGTGTTCAGCACATTCATATCTGCGTACTTTTTAGGAGATTGTAATTAGAAGGGGTGGCCATGTTTTAAAGAAACAGTTCTGAAATAATCGAGTAATCCATCAAAAATAGATTTTAGGACACACGTGTTTGTAGGTATGAAGACCAAGCACTTTCTCCCGATTTCAAGTTGTAAATATTATGAGATGAGGTGATGTGCAGGAAATCTGTTCAGTGTGTTTACTAGAGACACCGTCTTTGTGCCAGCTGTAAATAAAATCCACCCATTGTATACCGCATCTGGATATGGAGTGTTGAGGTGCACGTTACCTCCACATGCAAACACTTACCTGTGTGTCCTGTGGCATGTGGAGGACGGTGTGCAGCCTCTCGCTATGATGGTGTCTGGACTCCTCCTCGTATGAAAGATCTCTGTCGGCCTGCGGCAGCGTCAGGAACCTCCTGATGGTGCACAGGTTCTCCCACAGAGTGCGGTTCTCAGGGCTGGGGTTCTCCTTCCACCGAAGTAGCTCGCACAGCCAGCCCTGAAGAGGAGACAAAGATGTATGCGTGGGGGGGGGAAAGGTGAGGTTAAAAAGAAAGGAAGTGTGGACTGTGCGATAGCTGACAGGGATGTTAATGGGTGACTTCTGCTACTGTGTCATACACAGTGAGAAAGAATTGTTATGCAATTTTTTACGACCTTTCTCTCTCACACACGTGCACGCAGAGCAGATGACTCTGCATCTACTCTGTTTGGAAAGTGGCAGCGGGGATGAGCATGACAAGTGGCAACTGAGATAGACATGAATGAGTTTATTCATCCATTATCTGAGTCTGTGTTACAGCAGTGGAAGCAGATCTGCCTCTCCACAGCCACCACCTCCAACTCCTATGTGTTCCCAAGCCAACTGAGAGACATAATCTCTCCAGCATCTCTCTCAGCCCTAGGGCCTCCTCCTGGCAGGACAAATTGGAAACACCTCACTCAGCAAGTGCCCAGAAGACATCCTGATCAGATGCCTGAACTAAATCTGTTGGTTCCTTTTGATGTGTGTTTTGAACCCCAAGCTCCTCACCCTATCCCTAAAGAAGAGCCCAGGTACCCTTTAGAGGAAACGTATTTCATCTGCTTACATCTACAATCTAATTCTTTTGATTAGTATGCAGAGCTTACGGCTAAGATGAAGGTGGGAATGCAAATTCACCCATAAACTAACAGCATTGCTTTCACAGCCAGCTCTCTTCACAACAGAGTGGTGAAGCTGCGCCAATCCGTCTGTCAATGTGCTCCACTCCACTCGATCATGAACGAGAATCAAAGATACTTAAACTTGTCCACTTGGGGCAGCACCTCGTCCTTGGCTGAGATCTATAGCATTCTCATCCCACCCCCCCATTGAGAGTCACGGCTCAACGAGGCTGACACAACCACATCATCTGCGACAAGCACAGACAAGATCGTGAGACCACCTAACCTGACACCCTCCACCCCGGGGAGGGAAGCTCGAATTAAAATAAAAAGTTGTAAAAGTTGGAAGGATGCAGGATGTGTGAGGTAAAGGAAGACGGAGGAAGGAGAGACGGAGAAGATTCAATTATATCTGCTAGACTGGTTCAGTTTGTGACACCAGCTGTTGTGTTCAACCAGCCACCTCGGGCAGCATGCACCGCTAATAGCCTGATCATCTCTCGCTCTCTCTCTCTCCCCCGCTTGCTTGCTGTCCTTGCTTGCTGGCCAGCTGCAGCAGATGGGTGCAGTGAGCCATGACCCTCAGCCACCCCCAGACCCACCAACCAGGGGTACCTCGCTAAATACACACAAAAGCAACGCACATACTGTATACATGTTGTCAAGCCTTCTTTATAGACCACCTACATCCCATGTGAGTCACATCCTGCAACATCAAGTTGCTACAAATTTAAAAAACTATTTTTTTAAAGAATTCCTATTATTGTTTCAGTCATCGTGGTCTGAAATTAAGACCAAGAAGCAAAAACTGAAGTGTTTCCTTTTTCATTTTTATCCAAAAATTAGAAGTAAATACATATAAATATAAATAATGTCTTAATGCGTGCGGCCAAGATTCAAAATTTTAAAAAAAACAATAGAGGTATAAATAATTGCAGCCAGTGTTAATGTCAAACATTATGTCACCAGAGCTTTAAGAGCATAACTGATCACACACGTCCGGTTTGAAGTGATGGTGAAACAGCTGATGAACATTTAGATCGTGTTACCGGCAGAGTACCAGCTTTGCTGGCTCTACTCAGTCCCACAACTTTTGTAGTTTGTAATAAATCTTTATTAATTCAAATGATTTTGGTTCAATCGTGATGCTCACTAACAAGTTGACTATCTAACTCACAGGGTACAAAAAATATCAGCTACGCTATCGCAGTACATATAAATATGTGACTGCACTTGGAATCTGACCTGAAAAACAAACACTTTAAGTCATTTTGTAGGCTTGTTTTCCCCAACAGTCTCCTCACCTGGCTTTTGTTGGCCGCCACCTTTGCGAACAGAGCTTGGGACACTTTGGCTCGCTTCATCTCTTGCTGAATTTCATCATAGATGCCTGATGTAATGTTGACCAGTGACTCCAGCTTCAGTGGGAGGTCGGAGGGTGGGCCAGACGGCTTGGGCTGGGAGACAGGATAATGATGTAATGCAGAGCACAAATTTTTAAAAAGGAACTTTATTGTGCTTCGACAGAACAAGATGAGTGATAAACAGTCACAGAGGCGTACCGCGTATTGTTTAAGGCTTGTTATTTACTTTATGAATCTACTATGAAATTTAACCACAAAAACAAACACATATGAGGAGAGGTTATCAGCTGATGATCAGGCCAAGTCGCTCTGAGAACAGACATGCAGTGTTCCCAGTACAAGCATCAGCTGCACATCTGCAGCGCATGTCCCCACATGAGTTGTGTTTACAGATCAAAGTCATTAAGTCCTCCTCTTTTGTCTTTCTTTGTTGTTTCTGTTTGAATGAACATGTATTGGCTCTCAGAAAGCTTGTATACACAGCGTTTGAAGTCATCCACAAGACATGTAGAGACCAGCTAGCTTACATTCCCCCAGTGTAAACGATGCTGAGATAATTTTACATAGCCATAATAAGAATAGCGCACCAATTCACCCAGATCCATGAATGGGCATTTGTCCTGACATCAGGGGTACTTCTTATCACTGATGTTGCTCCACGTGCTTGTGGAAGGAAATTTCCAAATACTGTATAATGTCCTTTATGTTTACAATATGTCCCTCTGATGGCTTTGAAGCTGTTTTCCATTATAAATGGAATTTGTTAAGATAAAAATTTTCAAATCCCAGCGCAGGTTTTAGGATGAAGCACATGACATGCTGCAGTCTACTTTGTGAGGGCAAGTTAAAGATGGTAGATAACTCACAGAGTTACAGATCTTGGCCTTGTTCTTCCAGATTGAGGCCCAGGTATCTGGGATTTTCTGGTCCTCCAAGCTCCTCTCCCACACTTTCTAAGCTCATACATGACACAAGGCATGTTAGCATCACATATGATTACTCATACAAAACACCGCTGTTTTCTCGCTCGATGCACTGCTATGGCAACCGCAGTTTATGGCCCGTTGGGCACACTAACCTGTGAAAGGCGTGGTGCGCCGGGGTTGGAGGAGTTGGAGGGGGGAAGGCCGACCGAAGGGTTCATAGTGCGCTCTCTCTCTTCCTGGTAGATTCGGTCTCGCTCGCTCTCAGGCAGGTTGAGGAAGTTCTGCATGGCCTTCAAATTCACCAGCAGAGACTGCGAGGCCGTGCGAGGGTCCTCCTCCTTCCTCAGGATCTCTGAGAGCAGGCCCTGACCAACACAAACGCACACAGCAGGATATGTTATTGCATCTCCCTAGCATGGAAAATTGAAATATATGGTCCCTTTCCCATGCTTCAAGTGTACTGTTGAAGCTCCATTAATGCTATTCTTGGACTCGTTTGGCTTCTTTGTTTAAACCCAGACTGGCAATTTGCTTTTTCCTTTCATTTCACAAATGCATATCAAAAGTATCCAGAATTTTTTTTTTTTTTTAAAAACCTCTAAACCAAATGTTCAAAACTAGACAATCCTCACTTTTATTAAGCTGACACAAAGACATGTTTATCATTTTGACTTGAAAAATAGATTTTGTCAAATGTAAATCACTTTGAAGCTGCTCGTTTTCTCGTATAAACGTACAACTAGACACTTAAAAGTATTTGCATATTGGTTTGAGCTTCTCAAATACAGAGGCTACCCACCACAAAGTGATGCACCAGTGAAAAACACCTGGCCTCTAGACCAATAGGTCTATCAGCCACCTCCCATTACTTTGATCTAATGGGCCGTGCAGTAACCAGTTTAGCACAGCCTGAATGCATCAGGTGTTTGTGCTGCTGCGATGGTGGAGGAGGAGACTGAATGACGCAGCGAGCAACCCAGCCACGCTTCTGATAAGCCCACCAAAAATACCAAAAGGTGGGTGACCATAAATTAGCCGAGTTGTTTTTCTGAGTGTGTGTGTTTGTGAAAATCAGACCAGTAAGGGCAACTGGCATTTGTTTCTACCCAGTAAACCTCTTCTCACCTGATATGATCCATATAATGTAAGAAATGTGTGTGGGTATTTTTGGTCTCGTCTGACGGATTAACGCCATTGAATGCCATATTTCAGTTTTTAGATTTAAAAACTTCTGCATACGTTTTATTCAACTAGAAACTTGATTTCCTTTCTCTGTCACATCGCCTTCCTCCTCTTCCTCTCATTTTCCCCTTACAACTTCCTCTCCTGACGCCTTAGCCTTGACCTTTCTCTGCGTTCCTACCTGTGTACGGTTGAAAGCCACACGGGCGAACACAGCCTGGGACACGCTAGCTCTCTTCAGCTCATCCCTGACCTGCTGGTAGATTTCAGAGGAGACTTCAGAAGCAGAGGGGTTGCTTCCAGGGTGGTCACCGCCAGCTTTGGATGGACCACGTGGGATCGGCGGGTGGTTCAGAAACTGTTGGTTGAGAGCTTGAGGGTGCTGGTGAGCCAGCAGGCGGCTCACGGCTAGCTGCTGGTTGATGAGGTGGGCCATGGCGAGCTGTTGCCGTACCAGCTGCGGGGAGAGTTGAGGAGAGAGCAGTCCACCTGGGCCCAGCAGGGGCTGCAGGGCACCAGGCGGTGGAGGTGGGGGAGGAGGAGGCACCTGCCCTGTACGGAGAGGAGGGCTGTGATGGAGGGGACCATGAGGTGAGGGCTGCTGCTGAGGAGGAGGAGGAGGTGGTTGCTGAGGTGTCTGGGAGGGTGCCTGCGAATCTGGAGATTTGAGGAGGGGACTGCTGGCTCCCAGGTGACCAAGCTGTGCCAGGCCAGCCAGATGAGGTGGAGGTCTCTGGCCCAACACACAGAAGTCGGCCATGTTGTCTCTCTCAACTGGAGATAATCAGAGAGTGTGTTCAAATAAATATCTTCATTTAAGCACAGTATCAGAAAAATGGATTATATTCCTTACTTTTTATGTCAGCAGCATCTCGTCCAGACCACATCTTTTCCAAGTAATCTCCTGCTCAACAAAACAAACGGAAGATCAGAAGAGTGACATGATGCTGCTGGTGTAAAGCTATGACTTTGCGTCAGCATCCATTTAAAGAAGAGAGCTAAGCTTTTGAGCCAAAGTTAAAGTTCCTAACGTGTCCAAAAATCAATGTAAGTATATACATTTACATATGCTGATGCTGATTGTGTCATGGGTTCTCGGCTGAAAGCTCCACAACAGCTCTGAAGAAACTGTCATGTCAACATCTGTGGAGCAGGACTGATGGAGGAAATGTTGAATGTAACTTAACACCAGCTCGTAGCAGGAGCGCAGCAGGCTCCGGCATAACTCCATCCTCTCTCACTTTCTTCTTACATCCTCTCTCCTCTTCTGGCCTAGTGTTTATTCTGTTATTATTACATTATTATAATGTAGCTTTTGGGAGTGGGACAAGCTGGTGTGGTTAAGTAAAAGAAGGGATATTATGGGGACTATATGACTGAATATCACATCCAATCAGTGTCACTGTAACCATTTACATAAAGCCATCCTGATTTCTACTCCTCCACATCTTCTAAGATGCATGATTCACAAGTTGGACTGGACTCCAGTTGTAGATATTAAACACAGATACGCATGTATAACTCTAAGTCAGGCTGTAACAATTAAAAGTGATACTTTTATATATATATTGGATATAGCAGCAACAATTGTTTTAATAACTGTGAGACAAAATAATAGTAACAATGACTTGACATTTAACACTTAACATTAGCATAGGTCCCATTACCAAGGCAGACCTCATGGATGGAACTAATCTACTGCTTCTAATCAGTCAACTGGACCTTTTAGCTACGACAATCTAACCTGTGAGCATCTTTCTGGAAAGTGAGAGGCTGAAAATGGCTCTTGTGAGTGACTTCAAACCTGCAACACCGTAACCGAGAGAGTGACAGAGTTACTGAGGGCTTCATCCTTTCTCAAATCTAAGGTTTTGCTCTGACTTGTATCCAATATTTTATTTTATTTCATTTATTAGTTTTTGCTGGATACACCAGCAGCTGGAATACTGAGCAAGCTCTCGATATTCAGGGCTTGTGTGAGTGTTTGTTTATTCACATAGAGGGCAAGTGGCACCTGGATAACTTGCAGTGTTAAGTCTTTGCTAGAAGTACGTTCTGGAATAAACCACTGAACCTTTTCGCCCACCTATGCTACTGTCCCTCTCTATGGCTTAAGAAACTCAGCCCAAGCTGACCAGTCACGCTTCTTGCACTCCTCATGTGGTGTATCAAGGGTTGCCATAAAGATGTGTGGTTACATGTAGCTCACATATGTTGTAGCTGCATGGCTAAAATAAAAGTGAGTTGGGCCTTTTAGTAGCTAGTTATAAAATTCTGCTGTCTTCAGAGCTGCATTATAGACAATGTGGGATTAGATGTTGAAAAAATGGTTTCGATCATCTTTTGTCCATTTAATGTTATAGGAGTGCAGTGTTGCATCAGTGGAGCACTCATTTAATGCTCTTCATTGCAGCTCTCGCTCAAGAGTTTGCACTCTCAGATAATCTTGTGTGACTTATTTCAAAGTATATTGCAGAAGAAGTAAAACTGTGTTATCATTTCACCAGAAAAGTAGACAGATTTGTATGTTTTTATTATTTTACTCCAGAAATCATTTTACAACTCCTTGGCCACTGGTCCAACTACCAGATGATTTAAGAACTCTGGCTCAAACTCTATTAGCCTCACCTTTGATTTTTTTATACTTCTTGTACCAACGACCGAATTCTTGACATTTGGCAGTGGATACGTTGGCATAGTAGGAACTGTTCACTATGGAGGAAATCATGCTCTGAGAGGGAACAAGAGGGGAGAGATAATTAATAACCAGCATAATATGAAATGCTTAGACTCACGCAACAACCACATGGCATGCACACATAAACACATACAACATGCACTCTTGCGCGCACACAATAGAAACAGACAAACATTAATCATGACTGGAAGCCACCCATGGAAACTCGAGCCAGTACGGTGCAGCGAGGGAATCTCCAGCCACATACACATATGCTTGCAATTGATGCAGTGATCGACACCCCCACCAGAGATCCATTTAAACACAGTATGCAAACACTTCTCAGACACGAGTGAGAATAGGACCAGGCTAGAGGGCCAAACATACAGCTGAGGACTTTAACACGGCACTTAAACTTTTGGGGTGGAGTTTGATTAAAAGCTTGCAACAATAGCTCGTGGCTGTTTCTAAATGTGCCCAAATGGATCTCGTGAGGGCTGTCTGTAGCCAGGGTGTGTGAAGAGCTTGTCACTAAAATACATGTGTAAAGATATCTCTTGTACTTAGAGCACTTTTTGCATGCAGATTAACTCCTTGATATGAAGACGCAGTAGAGATGCTACATTCTGGTGAGTCATACCTGTGATAGAGGACACTCTTTGGCCAGAGTACTTTGGTTCATTTCCTTTAGAAGCTCTTTGAGAGCATTCCTGACAGTTGCATGGTTCCACTGTTCGCAGGGCAGATCCTCCAGCTTTGAAAAACTATACAAACCAAAACCACACATCAGTTTGTTAGGCTCATTTTTGGACAGGAGCACAACCACTAACCTACCTCCACATCTACCTGTAGGTTATAGAGGGAGACAAAAGTAGTTTTGCACTTGTATCAGTTAGCATATTTTATTCTGTCACAGTCACCTCTTTTGACACATAAGGTCAGGGGTTAGATTACTTATCGCCAACGACTGGTTGGTTTAAATCCTACAAGGTTTATTTAAGTTTAAAAAGTAGTTTAATGTTAAACTAAGCCACCATTAGGTTCATATTTGCTCATGTAACTCTAAGCAAGAAAAGAAATGTAAACCGGAATGAACACATAACCCCAACCATAATCCAAGCATCATGTATTAACATCAACCACAAACCACTACTTCCCATCTAGGGTCTATCTCCTTTTAATCTTTCTGGTTTTATTTAATTTTAACCTCAAATAAATAATTTCAACTCGGAGCACGAAGCATGTGAAACGTCTGCCTTTGCCATGGATACATGAATAAACATGTAAACAAACCTGGCTGGTATGCGCCAAGACAATAACAATAATAACCCTCTCATCTGGAGTTTATCTGGTTTTATCTACCCATCAAGATTCTGCTTCACCATTTCTCGGGAACCGACAGTTCCTGGCACGCGGGCTCTCCCTGACGGAGACAGATAATAGATAATTCCCTACCGGGTTGTTTAAATAGAACTTTAGTGTTTCAATATTGTTGCTTTCAAATTTGATATATATGGTAAATTCCTGAACTGCAATCAGCTGCAATGACATCAGCAGCCCAGTGGACCAAGTATCTGATCTAACACACACACACACACACACATACACACTGTACCCATAAAATACAGACTTACAAGTCTCTGCTACAGTGCTGCACACAGTTTGTTCTAAAGTCTAATGAATGAGAAAAAAAAACATCCTCTCACATCTGTCTTTCAAAACACAGTCTGACCTTTGTAGTTGAATGCGTAATGTGACCATGTGGTAAACCTCCATCAACATGTCAGCAACTGTTGCTTCTGGAGCATCAGTCAAAAAGTGAATGGGAAGAGGATTCCACTTTCCCACCTTTATGATGCCTGAAAAGAGAGAGCACATACTTCTGTCAATTTTCAATCATTGTTAAACAACCTTTTGACATCACACAACAGAGGAAGTACAAAACTCAGCAGACTATGATGGAAAGCAGCAAAAGAGATTTTCACCCAAGCACTCACTGTGACTAGTAAAGTGTTTCATCTCTACAGTGCTGCACGCTAACTGTAGCTTAGAAAAGTGTTGTACATTTTAGACGGCTTGGCTTTGATTGTTATTAACCATGAGAAGTGGTGTTTAAATAAAGAGTGGCCTCCTGTGTGTTGGATGGCCATCACTCTATTGACTGGTGTTTTTCTTTAAAGACAGCAGTTGCAGTCAGATTGAAAAGACTGTCTCTCGTCCACAGCATGTCTTTATCCTGTCTTCCTTCTCTCTCCCCAACCAGTCGGAGCAGATGGCCCCGCCCCTCCCTGAGCCTGGTTCTGACGGAGGTTTCTTCCTGTTAAAAGGGAGTTTTTCCTTCCCACTGTCACCAAAGTGTTTGCTCATAAGGGGTCATATGATTGTTGGTTTTTTCTCTGTATGTATTATTCTAGGGTCTACCTTACAATATAAAGCACCTTGAGGTGACTGTTCTTGTGATTTGGCGCTGTGCAAATAAAATTGAATTGAATTGAACACACCACCTTCACCTACTGTTCAATTTACTGTTTATTGCCCTTGTTTTATTCTGAGAATGTTAGATGGATGGGAATGTTAACAGACACTTTGAAGACTGGGATAATGTACATTTAAAATGCTCTGGAGACACCCACTAGTTAGGAAAGTCCTGCCTTGCCAAGTGGCTCTGACTGAGAAATCAAAAGTATAGCCCGATTGATCTTCCTGTACAACTTAATGGAGACCATCGTTTACAAAATTACAATTTTCTTTTAGATTTCCAAATTTCTTTTCCCAACCAAAGGAGTCTCTTCTGCTGGCCATGAGAAAGAAGCATTTTTAAGGTACTTTCACACAGGCATCATTTTCCCACCCAGAAGCTAAGCATATGATCTAAACAGCCAGTTTAGATCATTCAAGCCCTGCAATATTTATCCCTACATGTTGATTTTATTTCTGTTGCTCAAAAATTGCAATTATTTTTTCAAATCTACACATCACCATCTCTCAGTGTTCTGGTTACATGGATACAGAGTCAAGAGACACAACATCATAAACCCCTCTGCAAATAGATCTGTGAGAAATTCTGCTGCCGGACTGGGCTAAATTGGATTTCAGCTAATGTTTGAAACATTCTGGGGTCTTTGTCAGCACAAACAGAAACATGCTTTTTCTTTTTGAATTATGAGGCACTCGTGTTTCTGCAGGTCTGCACTGCCACGATACTGTTGATCTCTTGATTTAAGGAATCTAGTTGAATCTCTTTAAGAATATTAGCGTAATACGCACAGTCACACACGAGCATTTCACCTTTACCAGAACACACGAGCAGACACACACAGTACCGCACTCACTCACATGGGTTTTTCATGCGGACTGGCTGGAGCTGTGAAAACTAAACAAAGCTAATCGCATTACTATCCTCTAAATGAGATCCAGACGGGTCCTGAGAAGCTCCCTCGCTCTCTCGCTCTCTTTTTTCATCCCCTTATTCCCTCCCACCTCTCCTCCATATCTCCCCCTGTCCTTTCCTCCTGCCTTTCTCTGAGTTGTCCTCTCTGATCTCCCTCTCTCCTTTAGCTGTGATTACAGCTCAGTTATATCTTTGATTCCACTCAGGCAGAGCTGTGTTGTTAATTATTTGGCCATACAGAGAGAGCATCATTAAAACCCTATGCACAAAAAAGTCTGAACCCCCTTAAGGGAGGAAAAGAACCCTAGAGCAGCAGTCCCCAACCTTTTTTGCGCCACGGACCGGTTTATGCCCGACATTATTTTCACGGACCGGCCTTTAAGGTGTCGCGGATAAATACAACAAAATAAAACTAGTACCGGTACCGAAAAAAAGAAGATTTATTCATAACGCACCTGAAAAGACCCAGGAAAACCGAGTTAACATTAAAAACGATAACAAAATAACCCTGAAAACCGATAAAAACCCTGAAAACCATACATTTCACACCTGAGCTTCAACTCTCGCGGCCCGGCACCAAACGACTCACGGACCGGTACCGGTCCGAGGCCCGGGGGTTGGGGACCGCTGCCCTAGAGGAGCTAAAGACCAGCATGGAGACATTTAAGGACTCAAACAGAACTAAATAGTTAGATTTTAGCAGCACAGTGAGCTAAAGTGAATCTGCAGCACATGAAAAAGCTTCTTTTTCTATATGAAAGCTTTAATTGTATTTCTAAAATGCTTTTTTCTTGAGTTATTTCACGTACAATAAACCAAGTTTTAATCAAATGTATCAGAAATGCCACGCATCCATATGTTTGGATTTCTTCAATTATGGCATCCAAGCTAATATTCCTAACAGGCCAATCAATGACTATCTTATCTGAAAGCTTCCCTCGTTCAAAATAGTCTCATCAATATAGTGCTAATTACAACAACAGTCATCTTAAGGTGCCTTATATTGTAAGTAGAGGCCCTATGATATTAGAGAAAGTTCCAACAATCAGCCAATCCCGTGAGCAGCACTTGGTGATGATAGCAAGAGACGTCTGCAGAAGCAGGCCTGGGAAAGAGCAGCCACCTGCCATCATCGGACGTGGAATTAGAGGAACGAGAACAAAGATGTAAATAAGAGGAAAAGGCGTAAAGATGGAAGTTAAAACTGCCTCATGGTCATACGGCTTTGAATCTGCTAAGAACATGTTTACATATGCAGACAGAAGCAATAAAGAAGGTTAAAAAGATTGGAGTGCTCTCACTTCCCACACGTGCACGCACAGTTCAGATGAGGGAGGCTTACGGTGCTTCTAACGGAAAATGTTAATGCAACGTTAAAAGAAATTAACAATCACGCTTTTAAAATCTGCACTCATCAATCATGCAATCGCATGTATATTGTGCGCCTATAAAAATACATGTATAAGGAAGGCAAGGCAGAGGAGCTAAATGCAAGATACACAGAAGTCTAAAATCCAAATCTTTAGTCAGAAGTAGAGAAAGGCTGGTAGTGAGGGAGCAGGCAAAGGGCAATCTCCATTTCACAGCCCAAAAGGATCATGGGAAAAATAAGAAATGCATCAGGAATACAGGGATTGCTCGAAGACCCAATTAAACAGACAAGGTGATCTGTTAGGAGAAAGAAACTGCAGAGTTTATACAGAGAGGTATGCGATCAACTCACTGGACACAGGCAGGGAACAGGTGTGGAAGAAAACAGGTGAGACTAATGAGGGTGTGGCACGCAATAAAGAAGAGGGAAAACGAGCTAAGGGAGGAAATCAAACCGGAAATAATGCAGCACTATATAATATGTGACATGTTCTTTTCTAAAACCCAAACAACAACAGCAGCAGAGAACAGCCTCACCCCCTGGCTACTAATTTTCTGCATGTAGCATCAGCACATCTGAGAACAAGCCAACAATTCCACTGATGCCAAGTTGGGTGGAAGCAAACGGGTGAATAAGCAGACAAACACAAACTCACACAGGACACATGACAGCATGCAGAGACGTGGACGCATGCATGCAGCAGTTCACATGCAAACACGCACGCACTCACACACTCACGCTCAGTGTGACGGTAAATACATTAATAATTGATTCATCTTTTCTTTTTTTTGGTCTGCTGTTCAATGGGCTCTGCTTCTCGTCTACGTTTAAAAGTAGAAATCATTGTTCCCATTTCCACATTAAAATTCCGCCTCCCAGAGACACGCTTTTATGTGGCCGGCTGGTGGCTTGGCTCATGTCTAAGGGTGCCCATCCACACAAATGCAAATCCAAACACACACTTAATGTCTCTGACTCCTTGTGTCGACACCCGTACAGCCCTGCACGCCACTGGATGCCACTATGCGCGCGCACACTCAGATATACACATGTTAATCCAATTTGGCATTTTAGAGAGGCCGAAGCCGGCACACACATGTGAGACCTCGAAAATGGTTCCAGGTTCTGCCCCTGGAAACACACTGACTGAAACCGCACACGTCAGACTCTGATGTCTATCATTTGAGGTACTCCTCTAAATAAAAATCCATCAGGCTGTCATTTCAGGGAGTGAAACACGTCTTCTGTCTACTCTAACGGCCCAGCGGGAGCGAAAGCTTCAGTAACGGCACCAGTTGGTCTTATGATGCAACTCACTGGATACAGAACTCTCTGAGCTCTACGTTCTCACCAGTGATGACCCTAATCCTAACCCTTTGAAATCAGAGGATGTATTTTTTTTCCTTTTCACTCCCCCAAGTATTGAAAATTGGGAACCACAAAGTAGTCACTCTCAAAAGTTATATTTTTTTTCCAAAAAATTTGGGGTTTTAGTTCACAACTAGGATTTGGGTTATTGCCAGTGCCACTGATTGAGTATATACAATCATGAACTCTTATGAGGCACCAGGCTCTTTATCGTTCTCCAAAGTCTTGGCATTCAAATTGAAAGATATCTAAACTTACATATTCTATGAGGTAAAATTATTATTTCTGTCAACAAGCCAGTGATATAAAGGCTTCAGGTTTTGTTGTAAAGACAATCCTGACTGAAAGTTGCAACTGTTCAAACACAGCATACACTCAGTCGTCTGTAGGTAGTACGCTGACTTCTATCTCTGTGTTCCTCTTACAATCCTATAGGTTGCCTGTGACCTAGTTAGAGGTCGAGATGGTGCTGGATACATAAATTTCCATTTATGTGGAATATTTGGGCAAACTGGTTATGGACTGTGTGGCTAAAATACAACCATGACCCTAACACTACCCCGAGTGTTTCACTGCTAGCCTGATAAATACTAACAAGTTAAAAACTGATTTTGATCATCTGCCTTTATGAAGCAGTGAGTCCAGTTTTAGAGTGATGTTCACAGACATGACTTTAAAGCTAGATGGTGTTTGGGATGGAGCTCTCGAATGGAAAGACTCGGTTTGGT